ATGTGCATGCACACATGCGTATGTTTTTCATAATAACCACTCTATGCTTGCTGCCTTTTAAAATTGGGGCTACAGATAACTATCATATATAAAATAAAGATGTCAAAAGACCAAATTAGCAAAATTTTTTCATAAAAATTTACATATATATAACTGAAGATTTAAAATAAGATTATAGTATGTATTAAAATCAAATACTAGCCAGATATGGTGGATCCTGCCTATAAACCTAATATTATGAACTGAACTGAACCTGAGGATCACCATCACAAATTCTCGATTAGTCTGAGCCACAAATTCCATACTATTGTAGATAATCTCATCTGATACTCAGCAAAATCTCCCATGGCAATATACTCTACAAGATGTTGTCTTGGTTGTCTCAAACAAGAGTTGCATACCAATGCCATTCTCTTCTGTATACTTATTAGAAGCATTTTAAAAACCTGCTAAGTTAGACGGGGAGATTGGCTCAGTGAATCAGTTTACTTACCATCCAATCATCTAATCTGACAATTTGAGTTCTGTTCCCAGGAGCTACATGATAGAAAGGAACAAACTTCCAAAAGATATTCACTGACCTTTATAGATGTGCTATATACGTGAAGGCCAACACTCACATACATACAAATGAATAAATAGACAGGAAATGGATAAACATTTTTTTAATGTTATAAGCCAGTACAGTGAGACCTACCTATAATACCAACTAGTAGGAAGGTAAGATAGGAAGATCAATTGAACCAGAAGTCAGAGGCCATACTGGACAACATAATGAGACCTTGCTCAAAAAAACAAAAAAACAAAACAAACAAACAAACAAAAAAAAACCTTGCCTAATGTACAAACTTAAATGCCCACTCAGCAATAAGGTTATAATAGATTCAACATGACAAAAAGCTTAACCAAACACAAACTCAATACTCTTACTCAAGACAGTCTTACTCAGATATATTTTCAAGCATCACAAGGGTGAAAAGTCACTGGTTTTTATAACATCCCATTTGCTTATAATCTTACTATACTGCAGAATGATGCCTTGTCTATTTAAGATAAAATACTAGACATTCTTTCATCCAATTATCTGAAGAGTAATTTGTTTCAATGGTTAATTAAATTACTCTTATAAATTTAAGGGTCCTTTATACCCATCCTTGCTGCATTATTAGAAGGTGACTCCATTTCTTGTCTTTCAGTCCCTGGAAACTACTAGACAAATTAACTACTTCTATGTCCAGATTATTAGAAGTGAGAAACTCCCTAGATTTACCATGTGGTGTACATGCCACAATTCCAACTGCTCCAGAAGCTGACACAGGAAGATTGCAAGTCTGAAGCCAACCTGGGCAACTTAGAAAGGCAGTCTCAAAATACAAATACAACAAAGTGCTAGAGATACAACTCAGTGAGGAGAGCACTTGCCTGGCATGTATACGGCCCAGGTTGGATCCACAAACGGGAGGGGAAGACAAACACAGAGATACAAGGCAAACATGGACAGACACAGTCGTGTGTGTGTGTGTGTGTGTGTGTGTGTGTGTGTGTGTGTGTGTGTTGTACACATGCGGTATATAAGCAAGCAAAGAGATTAGAGGAGGATGTCAGGAGTCCTACTCTATTGCTCTCCATCTTATTCCCTTGAGACAAAGTCTCTCATTGAATCTAGAACTAGGCTAGGTTGCCAGCAAGTGCTAGGGATTCTCCTATCTCCATCTCCTCACAGTGCTATGGTAAAAGACCTGCTCTAGGCCATGCCCAGTTTTTAACACGGGTGCTAGGATCTGAACTCAGGTGCAACAAGAACTCTTACCCATTGAATACTATTTCCAGCCCCAAGAGAATCTTCATATTGGGGGGGGGGGGGGGAAGACAGCCAAGTATGATGGCACATGCTAGCAATCACTGCACGTATGAGGCTGAGGCAGGATTATGAATTCGATGCTAGCCCACGGTGGACTATATAGCAAGACCTTGTTTGCTTGTCTGTTTTGTTTTTAAAAAGTAAGGAGATAGGCTGTGAGTTCGAGGCCAGTCTGGGCTACCAAGTGAGCTCCAGGAAAGGCGCAAAGCTACACAGAGAAACCCTGTCTTGAAAAACCAAAAAAA